ATTACCTGCATAATTTTCGTTAAGGAGTAACTCACAAAATCTGTGTGTATAGTTTTTATGATTTTATCTGTAGAATTTATTCCAATGCCCAAATGGAACAATTTTCTTACAGTTAATTACTTCTCTGAAGTTTTAAATATATCACCCATAGTACGTGCGAATAAACTAGTAAATTCTTTGCGTGTATGGATCATGGAGCCAGTGGATAAATATAGAATTTATATTTTAAAATAGATCATATTGTTTTTTTTTCGATTATTTATTAAAATGATTGCCTTATAAATATTTCTTTTCATTAATCATTGTTATCTATGAGATAGATATTTTTTCTCTTGGCTGTATGATCTGTGGCGATTTATCTATTAATTAATCAATTACCTATCACCAATTGAGCATGCGTTTAATGCAATTATATATGCATTAACAACAAGAGAGCCACTGTATGATGGAGAAAGAAATATTTTACGAATGTAGAGCAGAAGTAACATAGATATTAATATATATGATTTATCTTAATGACATATAATATATTACTACAAGAACTGTAAGGTTATCTAATTCAATATCGTGTTAAAATATCTTATTGAATATAGTGCTTCTTGTGGATCCTTCCGTTTGTCTTTTAATAGAGGAAAATGTCAAAATAATCTTTATTGAGAAATTTTATATAGCCTAAGCCAAACTCTATTGAAGAAAATTAATGAGGAGATATTAAATTAAAATTTCCTGTCATAAAATAAAATTGTTTTTTTTATGTTTTGCTTTCTAAAAGCATTTATGATGTAGTGTTTTAGTTGGATAATTTTCGTTTCACTAAAGTCACGGAAAAATAATATGTAGGCCATTTTTGACAATTTATGCAACAATAATAGATCCACTTATCCAAGAGAAAATTATCACCTTAAGAAACTCCTTAGGGTACAAAAAGCCAACGATAATAATCGATTTTTATGATGTAAATTTAAAACTATGTTGAATACATTGATGCAGAATGAGTACGTGACAAAGTTAGTGCAAAAAGATTATGATTGATTTCGAAAACTTTGTAAACACAACAGACGACTAATGAATATGAGATTATTTCTTTTTAATTTGTTTACAATTTTCAAAAATAATACATAAACTTTTTTATGGTTATATGATATGTATATTTACATACGATGTGACTGGACTTTTAAATCGATAATTTAAATGTTAAAAAAACAATAGAAATCTGTCAAACTATCTAAATTATTTTGATTAAGTTTAAAAAAAACACAGCAACTATTAGCTATATATATATTATCGTCTACGAATAATAAATGAAACATTTACACCCGTAGACAGATCTATGCGCTCGGATGACGTAGAACAACTTTTATACGCATATTACAACAACAAATCAATTATGATCATTTTTCTTTCTTTTTTCCAAAATCATATTATTTGTTTTGTGCTATCTTTGGTCGTCGCCTTTTATACTTCGTGTATGTATATGTCAGTATGCCGATAGCAATTTTCAAAAGAAATAGCAAAAATCATCGTGACAAGAAACAAAAGAAGTTAGAAGCAAACTCAATGATTGGCATTGCATGAAAAATTACGATGTCTGTAGAACAATGAAACGACGTGTTTTGGTTTTGGTTTTATAAAGAAATTTGTCTATGTCAAAATTACGCATGTGTATGTTTACGAAGCAAAGAAGCACTAAAAATGCCATGTCTTTTCGTCAGTAACCCTATTTCAAAAAAGATAATGTTCTTCTTGTTTCGTTTATATTTAGGTTAGCTTCTAGACATAAGTTTGTTATATTACAAAGCCAGACTAGTACTACCACGAAGTCAGACACCGGGAAAAAGAAGCAACGAACCGTGAATACGATCATGCACCATTAATCCTATTAGTTTGCATTTAGCTGCCCAATTGAGAGAATATCAGACAAAAAATCACCACTGATGCAACTTTTATAAATGAGATTATTGAAAAAACTCGCCTTTTTCTATGAGATATATATTTTGATTCTCAATAACAACAACAAAAAAATGAACGCTCTCCTAAGTAATATTATTTTTCTCACTGAACATGGTCTAGTTTCAGATCTATTCATTTCAAAGACCGAAAAGCAGCACAACAAGTGACATAAATATTTTTTCAATACATTGTTTCATGAGATCAATTTTCAACATAGTTATATATTGTATTTGATTGCAAACTTTTCCATCACAGGGTACTATTTATAGATTTTATAATGTCATATCTTAATAGGCTTTTTGTTTTTGTCTCTTTTAGTTTTGCTTTTCAATACGGTTCTATAATCTTCGTCTGAATGTAAACGAACAAAATAAGCAATTAAACGATTCTCCTATTAGTAAGTTTTATTTTTCTGTTTACATAAATGAGCTCGATAAGTGAAAATAGCTAGCGATAAAGAGTTTCATGTCTGATTGAATCCAATTATATAAACACTATTTGTTTGTTTATGTTTTTCGGAAAATGACATTTATTTATTAAGAATAATGAAAGTAAGTCTCATTTAAACGAAAAGAAAAATACGATTATCAGCTACCAGCTGCTCTTTTCTGTTTATATATTAAAAAAAAGGCAAGGAAATGGTTGAATCAATGGATATTCATAAGTTTTCTTATCGAGATGACACGTACGAGGGAGGGTCCCCAACTGTTCAATCCCTTTTGCATTGAAACTATTTACATTATGTAGTTCCCAAGGCGTTATGGATACGCTGAAAATAATTTGGGCGGATAGCTTGATGTTATGAAAATAGTTCATCTTAAAGGTATGTTTTTTCAGTGAGTGCCTAAATTTACCCTCAGAAGCCTTGAAAAAAATTGATTTTCGAAATTCGACTTGAAACTTTACATAGAAATACACCTCAACAAGAATAGTGTCTTGTGAATGTTTTTGGTCATTGAATTTGTTTGTTTCATCAAATCTGCTACCTTACTTAAAAGATGTAAAATAAAAATTTCATAATAGCTGTGTGTAATGATAGGAATAGTAGAATGGTCTGAAACGGTCACGAAACACTATTCTCGTTAAGGTATGTTTCTATGTAAATTTTCAAGTTGAAATTCGAAAATCAATTTTTTTCAAGGTTTCTGAGGGGGAGTTCAAGCACTCACTAAGAACCATACCTTGCAAATGAACTATTTTCGAAACAACAAGTTATCCACCCAAAATATTTTCAGCGTACCCATAATTCCTGGGGAGCTACATAATGCAAATAGTTTCAACACAAAAGCGATTGAACAGTTGGTGGCCTTCCCTCGTTAGTCGAAACAAAGGAATTACAATTCTAATTAGTGTAGCCTATCAACAAAATATGTACTGTAGAATTCGTATATATAAATAGTCTTTAGAAAATTCTAAGCATACAGATAGAATTAGACTACTCGCGAAGTTTACCCAATGAAATCAACCGAGCTTTTATTGAAAGTATTTAATTTATTCGATATTTTACTTCGTAGAGATGTTGTTTTCTTTTATCTTACATTTATATAAAAAAAAAAGCGTAGAAATGTAAAAATCTTGAGCTTATTATGATAAACAATGTCCTACATTAATTTTTACTTTAGAGAAGTAACAATGAAGAGACATTTCTCGAGTAGTTATGCTATTCTAAATTTGATGAAACCACTATCTAGAATGATATTTTTTTGTTATGAATAACTTTCTCTCTATAGAAGAATACAAAGAACATCCGCTACTAGATCTTCAATTGAAAAGTACTCCGTTTTCTATTCATTTTTGTTATGCAAATGAATAAACAGTTTTCTTTCTCCGTTTTTTTCTCCAGAAGTATTTAACCAACTACATGCTGAGTAGTGTTTTTCTGTTTCATTGTCTCAACAAATATCCGTTGTAAACTTGACTTTATAATTAATTCTCAGGGCAAAACAGCACTTAAAAAGAAAACACAGTCGAAGAACGTTTTTGTTTTATGAAGTCGAATATCACTGATACAAATTTGTGATTTTTTTTTCTTGAAAACTTCTATGCCTCGTAGGAAATAAAAAAACATAGGCGATTGGAAAACGTATCTATCATGACGAGAGATTATTATTTATTTAAAGCATACTTAGCGATATCGAGTGTTCTGCTTCTCCTAAGCCCCTGTTGTCTATCAATCAAGTGAAAAGAGTCGAAGACGTAAAACTGCAAAGATAGATCGAAGGATCTCGAGTGGCGAGAGAGACAGAGGCAGAGAGAGAGAGAGAGAGAGATACATAGAAAGAGAAAATGAGAGAGAAAATGATTAATTCCAACAGAAACGAGTACCAATGAATAGAAGACAATGCGAGAAAATAAATGACAATATGCATCGTACAAATAAATTATATTCTATATCGTATAATGAGAAATTCGCATTATGCATCACGAGAACATATATATATATATATATATATATAAGATTTATTATTTAATTTCATTATATTTTATAGAATCTAGAAATCATCGTAGCCTTCTTCTTGTCGTTAGTTTAGAAGTATATCTTTAGCGTCTCGGTAAGTCAAAATAACCACAAAAACATCGAAATATTTGTGTTTTGATGTAACGATAATAAGATTGTTGCGTAACAAGTAGACAGAATTATAATCATTAAAATTGTCTTAGATTTAGCAAAAATATTTAAAAAAACATGACTTAATATTATAGATAGTGAATAAAGAAGTTTCTTCTCTTTCTCTCCTTCAGTATGAGAAAAGAAACGTTGATTAAAAAGTGATATTTGGGAGAAAGGTGAATTATTAGGAGTTGCTACTATTGAATGAGAGAAAATATAATACAGAGCCGTCATAGTTGATTATAGACGTCAAATTGACCGGATATGAATGTACACGATGAGCAAGGAGCGGAAAGTAAGAAGAAGTCATCTTCCGAAATATTCTTTGTTGGAATTCTTATAGAAACATGAAATATCTTCTTCATAAAAGTCTATATGCTAAAAGAAACAACTTAACATTGTATTAATCATGTAGTATACACAATAATAGCAGTCGTATATGATTCACTGGTTCACCTCTTTTATTTACATTTCAGTGCCATTAACCATTTTTATTCATCGACGTGATTTAAGTTCGTCGAATCTCTACGTCGAAAATGATAATCGGCTTGCTCCATTAAATATTAACGCTAGTGACTGGTATCTAATATCATCAATTAATTCCGATATGTCTATTATATCGCCTTCGTCGGGTTCATCATCAAATTTTATCAATTTATTTAATTCAACAACAAAAACAACATCATCAACAATTCGACCAATGCCATTTGTTAAAGCACTACCTGTTGCACTTGTTCTTTCAAGTGTTGTTATTTTATGTATATGCGGTAATATTCTCGTTATTTTATCTGTCTTCACATTTCGACCACTGCGGACTGTACAAAACTTTTTTATTGTTTCACTTGCTTTTTCCGATATGCTAGTTGCTATTATAGTGATGCCATTTCATATTGTTACACACATGCTTAATCGGTGGATATTCGGTAAGAAGATTTGTGTTTTGTTCACGATAAAAACAAAAATACTCTCTATTTCTTTTAGGACAAATATTTTGTCAAATTTTTGTCACGTCTGATATTCTTCTTTGTACATCATCAATATTAAATCTTTGTGCTATAGCAGTAAGCTGTTGCGAATGTTTCTTGTTTTGACGTTATTTACTATTCTTCATATTTCATTTCTATAGCTCGATCGTTATTGGGCAATAAGTGATCCGATACATTATGCACGGCAACGAACCATACGACGTGTTCTCGCAATGATCATCATTGTTTGGCTATTATCAGCAGCTATATCTATTCCACCTATAATAACAACTATATTGGGTTCGACTGAATTAAGAAGCTACAATGAGCTACAATGTGAGCTATCGAATAATAAATTTTATGTTATTTATTCAGCATGCGGATCATTTTATATTCCCGCAATAATTATGACTGTAGTTTATATACAAGTTTTTATAAAAACAAAAAGTCGTTTTCACGAACGTGCTAAAGGTTTGTTCATGTTTTGTGTTTTGAAATCAAAAATATATTTCAATTTATTATAGCTGCAGAAAAATTAGCTATTGTTACTCGTAGACAGAAAACCGTTAAAAGGAATCATACTTTAAATGGTCATGCTCGTCATCCAAAACGACGATTATCATCAACGACTCATGCAGTAAATTCATCAATAAAATATTCAGTATCAAATGGCAGTGGATTAGAAAATTTTAGTACAGACGATGCTGAAGAAACGTTCTATTCAAAAAATGAGAGTGTCAATCCATTATCGTATAATAATAATTACCATAACAATATTATAACTAATAATCAATTAGAGAAGTGTCATAGGCCTGATAGAGCTGCATCACAAGTTTCACTTACTATGAGTATCGATGAGGGCAAAATGCTTTCCACAAGTAAGCAGAGTTTGATTAGAAATAATAGCACGAATCTTTTATGCTTTCTTTTTCTTCTTTATTCGGCTCAAAATCCTAATAGTTTTGCTTATTGCACTCAGTTGTTTTTCTTTTTTTCGAAAGAATTTTAAAAATAGTCGCGTTTCCAAGAAAAAGCAGAGTTTGTTCTCTTATAGAAATACTTAGAGTTTGACAAGCATGATGAATAGATCGTGATTGATTACTGAAATTTAATTCATTTCGATTCCCGATATACTTGACTGAGAGAAAAAAATATGATTGATAATCTTTACGCTTTCGTAAGTAAACTACAAAATAATCAAGGATCTTTTGTTTTGAATCATTTTTATTTTTTTCTAATCGATCAAAATGACTAATCTATCACGCGACTTTACTAAGTGACAGTAGCCAAAGTGCATATTTATGCCACAAAAGGATCCATTTCAAACATATTCTATTTCTGATTTATTATGAGAAAATCTATTATTTTCCTATTATGAATGGTGCCAGAAATACCTGCATAATTATTCGAAATTCACATAGAGATGATTAGAACTCTCAAGCATTTTCGAAAACTTTGCAAACCTAGCCGGACTTAGTCTAACTCAGAAGAACCGTTATCTCGAATTTGACAGATGCTTTTCCGATGGCAACATGACATTGGCAGACACTCAAAATAAAATGTGAGAAATTTACAAATCTCATATACTCTTTCATAAAAAAAACCGACTTTTTACTTGATAAATAAAGCTGTATCTCGCTAAATTGGAAAATAAAACATCACAACATGAAACTAGATTAGAGACTGGCAGAAAGCTTCTTTTTTTTTAACTTCAAGAATCTATTTTGCAGAATAGTTCTATCTGTTTTCTTATCATCATATTTGATGTCGTCATGTTGTGCTTTTCAAAGTTTCCTGGAGTGAAAAGGGAAATGCAATAATAATAGATTCACCCGGCGGCACTAGTTAATTCATCGACCTAGCTTGGGAATGCCAAATCGATTTTCTTTGTATCTCTCTCTCTCTCTCTCTCTCTATCTTCTAGCTCTCGATGCGTTGCCAGCAAATGTAGAATTATCATTACCATTATATAATCAAAATTCTATTGGTGAATCGAAATCCGATATCGATTATTTAAATCAACAACGAAATGTATCTATTCAAACGACAGAATTTTTACCTGATTCAAGATGTTTCTCAATCAAACGTCTATCAAAAGATTATGAACGTAAAATATTTTTTAAAGGTAAAACATTAGCATCATTAATGCATGAAAGACAAAAAATATCTTTAACACGTGAACGTCGTTTATCGCGTACACTCGGAATCATTATAAGCGTATTTCTTCTATGTTGGCTACCATTTTTTGTTATGTATATCCTCGCAGCTTTTATCGACACAGCCGAATATATTAAAGAACCATTACCAACATTAATTCTTTGGCTTGGTTATGTGAATAGCGCGGTTAATCCTTTAATTTATACTATATTTAACGTCGAGTTTCGTACAGCATTTAAACATTTATTAATGCCTAGTTCGATGAAAGCATCCTCAAACCGATGCTATGTAAAAAAACAAAATACAAAATAACATAATTAAAGTTTAACATTTTTTATGTACGGTCTTTTCTTCTTCTTCTTGTGAATTATGGTATTTTAAATATAATTATATATATATATATATATATATATATATATAGTTTATTGCTCGATGAATAAATACGTGAATATAGAGTTTAGGATTATATTTGATTTTCATAAATAAAAGATCAGAATAAATATTTTTAAAGAGAAATTTAACGACATGGAATGATCGATTTTTTATCATTCATTAAACGGAAACTGGTAGCGACGTCTGCCATAAATCGATAGAGAAATTAGAAAATTTTCATGAAGTAATGCAACATCAGATTTGTTTGTGGAACTTGTGAAAAATGCGTTATAAGCACGTCTATCTGAATTATTTGATATCAGACTCCAGTTTTTTTCTTCGTTTGTTAAATAAATACAAAACACTCTCATTAAAATAGAATTTTTATATTCCTATAATAAATAATTTGAATCTATTCAGCGTTCTATTAATCTAAATTTTCTTCAACCAGAAATCCTTCTTCAAAAAATTAATCATAAGATAAAACATGACCTGTGGGCTTGCGAGTAGGCGGTTTAACGAGTGCACTTTCTTTCGCTCTCATGTCTACCTGCTAGCAGCACCTATTTGCTACCAAAAAATGAATGCACCTGATTAATAGTTCCTCTCATTTGGATGTTATGCACGAACTCATAGATATCTGATAGGTACCATCGTCTTTATTTCAGTCACTATCTGTTCATTGTCTATTGTGTTCTTCTTTTCCTGTGACATTCATGTCTATGCATATTTGAGAGCTCATCAAAATATGTGGCAACACAGCGCATTTGAATTGACGTATTCGATATCTATAAATAATTTCTTTTCATTAGTAGAAAAACAGACATGTTTAGAAAAATTCAATGGTTACTTTGACTTTTAAGTCACATGAATTTCTCAGTTACTCTGAATATGAATGATTGAATCAATTGTCAGTCTCATACTATACCTTTGTTTGCTAACAAATATGAAAACAGCAAAATCAAACTGTAATATATCAAAAATTTTCTATTGATGAAAGAAAATTAATTAAAAAAGAATAGATTCTTTTTGACAAGAACAATGTTGCAGATACGGTTCAATGGAATAGATGAAGGCGTGCATTATTTATTAAAACTGAAGTTATTTTTGCGGGCGTAAAACATCTTTGAGAAACAAAAAAACGATGTTTTCCTTTGGAATAAACATAAATTATTCAGATGTATCGTGTGAGAAATGCATTTCTATTTTTATTCGACTAATTAATGACGAGTCTACATGTAAACCTCGATTAAATATTGCAATTTCATCTATATTAAATTATCAAGTTTCGATATGATTTTTGAAAAATTCGTTAATTAACTTTAACAATAATATCATAATATTCAGTGCATTTTCTAATTAAATAAAAAAGATTCCGGCAAAAATAGAAAGTCATTCGATAATTCCTATTTACATACAACTCTTTACGCGTTTTATTAAGGAAAAAACAACACTTAAGTAAGATAGAAAATATTTTCCATCAAGGTAGAGTAGACTTTTGATTGAGTACGATGACAATAACAACGCGTGACCGATACAGACGAAGCGTCTGACAAAACGAATTACGATCGACGAAATTATCCAAAAAATATAATTATCGATCTTTTGAAACAAAAAGTTTGATTACAACCAGAATGTCACGACTTTCTGATTGTGATGGTGACTAAGAAAAGCAAAGTTACAATTAAGTTCGTTATCACAAATATAAACTACATTTTCGTTCAAGAATACATCCATTTTGACGATCTTTCTAACTTTTATTTCCATGGCATGACATTGAATCTACTCTTTCACAAACTCTTGAGATGATATATATCTGTATCGAAACAATCATGACTAGATACTTATGAAAACAATTGCTCATCTCTAACTATTATTATGCTAGTACATAATTAATTTAAAGAGAAGCATCCTAGAGAAATTTAGAGAAATGAAAACTGGTTTCGTCTACTCCTACGCGTACATTTCACTTTTATGCTATTAACTGTATTTGTATCATAGAGCCGATGTAGAAAATATGGGTTCATCTAAGCAAATATTTATCAAAAATGATGAATATAGTTAAATATCTTCGATTTTTATCACATAACTTTTATTGAAACGATTAAATTAATCTTCGCTCAGTTAAGAATTCTTTTGAGTATCTGAAAAAATCGTCAAATGAAGATACTCTTTTTATTGAAAGCTCTATGTTGCATACAAACAAATATTGATTATTAACGAGCATAATGAAGAATGAGCAAGTTCTTACCGTATAACAGTGCAGAGAAAATACACTTTTACGCTCCTTTTTTTTTAAATCAATAGTGTGATCTTTCTCACAAACACGAATTTTGAAACTTTACATAAAAAATAGTTTTTACTCAGAATATGCAATTTTCTAATTTGCTCCTGACGTGAATCACAAAGTTTTATTACAAATGTATCTTAGGATAGGAGCAACGACAATATCTCCAATTTTCAAAATGAACTTTTGTTAAAAAAAGAAAACATAGTGTGAATTTGAAAAAAAATGGGGAATTGAGCATCTGCAAACAAATAACCATCGGATCTGCAAGCTTTTGAGTTTATTCATCATTGATTAAGGCTTGCATAGATCACATTATTTTTTTTCGCTCAATAGCTAATCATTAGTTAAGTTCTTTTTTCTTGTTTTTGCATTTTCAACATAATCCATATACAGCCATTTGCAATGATGTTCATATTTGTTTTGAACATCTCATATTGTATAACGCTAAGACCAATTAAAAACATTTTAAGGGTGATGATATTTTATTTTTCTTCTACAGAATGTAATAAATCAGAGAGTAGTGTACGTTTAAAGGAACCCACTGAATCATTAGGAAAGAGAGAGAAAAAGTTTATCTATGTATCTAGCGACCATATTGATAATTGTTCTACGATGACTGTTCCATTTCTACAAAGAAAATAAAATTCCTTATCTAATACGTTTAAATGGAGAAAAAATCAACTCACTAGATGGATACACTTGATCAGTTAACTTTCCACCTTGCCATTTGTTAACGCGGACATATGATTCTTCACGTTTCATGGCTTCTTTAGTAGCCGCTGGTTTTAAGCATCGACGTAATGTACGTGCACAAACAGCAGAAAATTGAATATAACTAAATTATTATAGAGATTATATTTCAATGTAAAATACAAATGTAACAAACTTTAATCCAGCGATGCGCCAGTACTGCATATTTGGTTGCTCCGTTTCCAAAAAAGCTTGATCACAAATACCGAAAGGTCAAGAAAATACAAACACTGCAAATAATACTGCAAAATATTTACCTTGCTTCAGGATTGGAGAAAATGACTATCTATCAAATCATAAAAGAAATTTACTTTTATAATTTTTTTATCAAATTAAATTTTATATGCCATTTAACTTGATATTAAATATCACTAGTAATGAATTTTACTCCAAACTGAAAATTGTCGCTAGCGTACGGCAGTAATATTTCGTCCATTGAGAGCTTCTTCTCTGGTAACATAGACATGAAATTAGATAAGATTGTAGCAATCACCTCAAGAAAATGATTCGAATACAGGGTAACCCACAAGTAAGTAAATAACGTATTTTTTTAATTTTCTTTCTTACACTTAGCGAGATAGGCTTCATATTTGTAACGCATATTCTAGATAATAGAAGTCAACGATCGAACGCAGAATCACTCAAGTCACTCGATCCTGCCTCCGGGCCGGAATTCAAAGGAAACTGGTCCGGTCGTTTCCTGCCGGATAATACAACCGAACGTGTCGAAACCGGTCGACCCCGACTATCGGATGATCCCAGGATCAGAAGGGCTCCACCACATCTTTGACCGGATTCCATCAGATTCCGATGACAGGGATCTCATAAAAAACCTCTCATACAAGCATTCTTCAATCAGAACATGAATCAACTATAGTCTTCCAAAAACGAACCTCGCCCGACACAACAACACCACATGAATAATCACAATTAATCCATAACATCACCAACAAACAGATCGCACAACAAGCATTTCCACCAATACCAATCACCCTGAAACACATTGTAACCCGAACCCAACAATATCTGAGTCCATAATAAACACCCTTACAATAATCCATAACAATCCTACTATACTTTTTATTCATTAAACTAAATTCTGAACCCATTAACTGGGTTATCTGGTACCATTTCAATTCTTGAAAAAATCGCTCGACAAATCATTCTGCACCCATCGAAATAACTCATAATTCATAGCTAATGCATCTAAATATCATTCTGAACCATCACCACTTACGTTTTCATCAATTAATAACATTCTAAACATCTTTAAACAGTTATTTTCTTGTATAAACATTATAAGAAAATCGCTCCAAACATCATTTTGCACCGATCAAAATCATCAATAATTCATAGCAAATGCATCTAAATATCATTCTGGACCATCACCACTTACTTTTTCATCAATAATTCATAGCTAATCCATCTAAATATCATTCTGGACCATCACCACTTACGTTTTCATCAATTAATAACATTCTAAACATCTTTAAACAGTTATTTTCTTGTATAAAAATTATAAGCAAATCGCTCCCAAACATCTTTCTAGACTAATCAAAATACTGCACAAGTCGTAGAAAACCATCCATATAATTATGTTAGATCTTTCCAACGTACCTTTTCTTCATGAAACATGATTCTAAGCATCTTTCATTAAGGATCCAATCACACTTCTCTTCGACTAAAACCACTTCACAGCGCAACCTCGGCGTGCCGAAAAATTCACTAAGACATTTGGCACCTTTTTCGGATTTTCATTGTAGACCGTTCCAGCATACGTTTTCCTCTTTTTGCATGATTCTGAGTGACATTGGAAAACGATTTAGTGGCATATGAATTAATTAATAGTTTGTGTAAGCAACATCCGAACGTCCCCAAGAGCGTGCGTTGATGATTCGAAGTGATGTTTTCTGTCTTACTAGATCGCGGAAATACGTGTTGCCGGCGTTTTAAATGATATCGAGTTGCAAGGACAAACAACAGAGTATGCATACCCAGGTCGAACAATCTGATTGTAAGATCTTATATGATTCCTACAAGAGCGTATCGGAATTTACTTCGTGATCTTATATGAGCATACGAGATCGTACGAAAATCATATAAAATTTTGTATGATTTCATACAAATATCTTAAAGCCAGCATTTCTGATAAAATCTTACTGTACGATTCTTGTATGATCTTATGAAAAGATCGCGTATGATCGAATAGTGTTCTTATAAGATCTTAGGGAACCTTCATACAGATCCTATAACGAAATGTCGTTTTCTAGTTCCTGCTCTCTAATGGATATTTTAATAAAATTAATTTTCTCATGTTATACATATATTTATTTCATCAATGTAATCAATTACAATAGCTAAACATACAAATATACATAAGAAATATAAATAAATATAAAAAACATTATTAGTAATAATCTATTTCAAGTGATAAGCCATTAGCTCATTGCATCTAAAATTGAAACAGAAAAATTAATTAAACGTAGGGGTAAACAATTTTGATAAAAAACAAAAGACATGTCTTTAAGGAATAGTTGCTTTTGTATTATACTGTATATTGTATCAATAATGCTGGATTAAAAGAGAAAAAAGTTTTTAGAAACAAATTCTTCTCAACTAACTTTTTTCTAATCAAAATAGTTGAAATAGTTGCCGAAAATTCAAATTAATGTTGAACAAATATCACTGGAATGTAACTGCTTTTCACTTTATAGGAATATTTCATTTTAGTCAACAAAAATCGTTTGAAATAGCAGTTAATCCTATTTTAATAATAATAAGAAACAAGTCTTACTTATAAAAAATCACATATGATCAAGATCAATCATGAATTTTGCACAACCCGAATTACTGTAAATAATTGATTCATTCATTTCAGTCGACGAGAATAAAATTGTCATAAGTTTTGGAGCAAATTGCCCATAATCACCAGCGTCATAAATACCTAATAGATTTTGACTATTATATTCCTTAACATACGAAAGACCAATATAGCTAAATAAATAAGAAGACAAAAATGTCACTTACTACTATTTGAGGAAATATTTCACCATCACGACGATATTTTCTTCTAAGTTAGAATCAACCCAAAATAAAATACATGCATTTTAAAATTTTTTTGAAAAAGGAGCACAAATCTTACTGTTGTTTGATTAGTTTTTTTCGAAAAATTCTTGAATTGCCTTTCAACATTGTCTCGATGAGTTTGAATACGATAAACTAATTTTGAAATAGTACCAGCTAAATCTAAAATCATATTATGAGTAGATCAAGAACAATTAGAAAAAAATATATTGAAAACAAGAAAAAATGATTAACACAGTACTTCAATTGAAGATAAAATATACTTCTTTTGAAATATTGGTTGCGTTTATTGTTTGAGAGAAGTCAATTTGTTGATTTCTCAAAAATTTGATAATTTACTTCTATCAACATACTTGTACACATTGATTGAATTCCAATTGAAAATTCTTCATTTGGCATGCCCAGGTCGACTCATCCGACATCGGATCCGATAAAATCCTATTGGATTCCAGTCGGATCGGGTGGGTTCCGATAGATGCCTACTGTCGGATTGCTCGACCTGGGTGGCATTTAATTCATTTGTTCGACAAGTCATCATTTTGAAATATTTTCATCATTTAATTGACACTTAAAAAATGAATTGTTCGATAAATATATAAAAACAACTTTAAAAATGAATTTTAGAAAAATTCACTATCGACAATTGTTCTACGTCGAAACTACAAAATAGATGTCGTTTCAATCTAAGAAAATTTCCAGTGAAATTGTGAAATTGCGTGTTTTGAGGTATTTAGAATTTTAAACTATTCTAAATGACTTAAAATGATAAAATTATTGTATGAAATAAAACTGTATAACTGGTTAGTTTTGAGTGAAATAAACTCGTATAAGACAGAATTCTCTAGAGGACATAGTAAATGGAACAAAATTACGCCAAACAACATATATACGTATATATGTATATATGTATCTATATATAATTATATAATGTTTATCAAGGAAATATAAATAAATAAAGAACTTTTTAATAGTTTCACTTGGAATGCTTTGAAATAAAGCTGCTAGAATTGTGATATCTTGACAAGTAAAACGCAACTATGTAAAAGATGTGTTTTCAATTAAGCAATATATCGCGTTTTAAATTAGAGTAACTGTAATTATTTTAAAATAAATTTTAAGATAATAGAAATTATTGCTATAAAAACTATTTGTATCACTAGAATCATAATTTACGATTTTATCAGACCATACAAGATACCGATCGTCCGGTTTTGCAAGAATCTTACACTCAGACTCAGAATGATATAAAATCTATGTTCGCATCTTATAGCAAGAAACATATAGAATCTTATGATATCCGATTATCTGTAAGATCTTGTAAGATCGGATATGATCTGTGTACGATTTTTTCACCTGGGGTATATAGCAAGTTTATCTCGCCCTGGTAATAATAAATGGCTCTGGATTTCGCGTTAGACCTGAAGATGATGGATGAATCATGTTATAGTAGCAGGAGTTATGATAAACGACATGAGTGAAATTCATTCGGGCCGATAACTTCGCGCTGCATCAATAAATACAGGATCATGTTGCTCATGTGGATTGACTTCTCATAAATAACCTATTGGGTGAACCATAATTTTTAATTTATGCCTATCATCGCTTGTATGATGTGTTAACTAACGGTCTGAACGGATCACAAGATCTTCCTTTAGTATCTCGTAATTAGTTGCAGATGTGTTCGGTCGGATCTATGTTGTAGGACGTGGCTTAATCCGTCGAGTAGGACTGTTCCGTTCCGTTCTGATATGATCCGATTGGTTCCGATGATACTGATTAAGCCGGACCTACCATGAAATCTAGTGTCACGCGGCACGACAGATTCCGGTAAAGTTTTGTTACCGATTATTGTCAAATCACGTTGTATACGGCCCAATCGTATCATCTGACCTGATATTTTCCGGCCATATAAATCTGGCCGGTTCTCGGAGAATCCGGTAACCAAATTTCATAAGAAAACAAAGAAAATAATCGGCATTCACCAGAAATTAACCGACCGAATTCGGTCACCATGTGACATCGGAAATATAACCCGTCCGACAAGATCCGTCTGATCGATAATGACCTAGGTAAATCTCACAAGAAAATCTACAACTATCAATCATATTACTGTAATACCATATATAATGTACTTGCATGCTTTTGAACCAATCATTACAAGTGGATATTCTTCATACGTTGCATCTTTGACTTGTATCATCTAGTCTATGTGTTATAAATATGAACCCTATCTGTTTAAGAGAAAGAAAGAAATTAAAGAAATACTGTGTTTGCTTACTTATGGATCACGCCAGAGATGCCAACAGGCCACTTTTTCCGGCCTGACTTGGCCAGGTCAATCTGTTGCCTGGCCTGTCCTGCAAGCATACATGAAACCAAAAACCTTATATGTATTTTTATAACACATTCATTAGGTTCAATTTTGGTCATGATGTTGAGGATTAATGTGAGTATTTCTTTCTTTTCTTAATAGTAATAATATATAAAAAAGTTGTTCTATATATTAGAATATAAAAACTCTCTGAATTAGCACCACTAGCATTTCACATAAGAAACATACACTATTAAACAATTTATAAATATGAACTGCTATAAAGTGATAAAAGGTTAAAATGCATTGACTACTTTGTCTTCGTTTCTTTGATTTGGCTTTTTATTGTACCCTTAGTGATAATCATGGGAGTAAATTCAATTCAATCATTATTTGCTTGCTTTTTTTCTGAATTTGCAAATGGATCATGACTATACTTACCTATGTAGCCGATAATGTAAAGTAATGGGAAAATTTTCCAATAATCCATTGTTTTTTAATGAATTATTTCAAATTTTACCATTACTTCCCTGCAAAGCATCAAAATTTAAAAATATGATGGAATCTAATGCATTGAAAACGTGAAAATTTTGAATTAATTAGATTCCATTATATTTTTAAATTTGGATGCATTATAATATATGATGCATTGCAGGGAAATAATGGTAAAATTTGAAATAATTCCTTAAAAAACAGTCGATTATTGAAAAATTTTCCCATTATTTGGAAGATAGTGCATGAAATAGGTTGCATTTTAATTACATTATCGGCTACATGAGTAATACAGAATTCAGCAGATAAAATCATTCCAAGTCAATTTTGAGCAGGCTAGACAGGTTAGCCTGACCTGGCCTGGTGGCCTGGTCGTTATTTGCCTGGCCTGATGCAGGGCAGGCGAATATGTGAGAAATCAGCCTGGCCCTGTAGCCTGGTCTGGCAGGCGAGCAGGCCAGGCTGTCATCTCTAGATCACGCTGTATTAGCTAGTTCTGTTGCAAATATAAAATGAGAATGTTACGATTAACTTAGCGGAATTTAATGTTTTTTAATGAACTATTTTCTTCGAGATTAGAATTGTTTAAAAAACGACAAGATATTCTATTAACAGTAACTTTAAAAAGCTGTCAATCTAGTAGTCAAAATAAAAGAAATGTTGCTTATGAGTCGGTCCTGAGGTTGAAATTTTCTGAATGCCTCACTCGCTATGAGTTTCAGTTATAAGCATAGTTTTGAACGAATATTTTTACGAAGAATTTTTCAATTAATATGTGTTCTAAAGTCAATAAATGAATAATAACTATTGTTCGAGATCATGCTTCATGAAATATGTCTAAACAAGATTTGTTTCATGATCACAATGCAATGAAAATTAATAGAATCTGAATCAACAAATAACAACAGTTTAATTGATTGTTTAAGAATTATTGAAAATGATGTTTTAGTTCTAGTAAACAAATCGCCCGTAATATTCATGATCGACAAACGTGAGATAGAAAAACTAAATTTAATTTCGAATCAAAATGCCTTTCAACGTTCATGACGTATAAAATCTTAGATTTTCACATGCATTTGTACTTTTACTATTCATGCTTTAATATCTCTGTGATGCGTGTGTTTTCTTGAAAGTTAAGTAAGTGATTTGGATTCCAAGGAAATAGCAATCCGTAGAAATAAAGATATTACCATGCAAAAACTAACATTTTCTTATTACTGTATGCTCAAATAGTTATTATATTGATTCAACGAAGATAATAGACAACTTTTAGCTATAGAATTCATTCAACAAATTCCATGATTTTTTACCTATTACTTTTATAAACAGAATAAAATCTACAGCATAGGAATTCATCCTTATTGTTGTCTGTACTCTCGACGATAGACTGAGAAGCTAAAATCCACTATTTTATTTTTAATAGTTGTAAACTATGTAACATGTTATTCGGAACATATAAAGGACACACTAATCCCTGCGGTTAAATATTTTCACTTTTGTCTTGTATTTTTGTTTTTCGGTAGACATCCAGACTAAACGCTACATAGTAATTCCATATTCTTAAACATTTATTTTCAATCTATAAGGATTTTGAAAAAAATATCCTATTGACCATTGAGAGTTATATTCATTATCATACTCAATTCCAATACGATCGTGAAATCTAGAACTGATTGATTCTTTGAAAAAAATGTCATTAATCTATGCCAATGACATTACCTGTGGCTTAGAAATAAAAACAACAAAAAGAAAATTGTCAATCTTAATTCCTTATCGTACACTTGATAATTATAAGTGATTTAATATTTTATCATGTGCATGTTTCTCTCTCTTTCTATATATATACATAAATGTATACACATATTATGTACATTCATTGTTGATAAATATCCCAAACGTGCGAAGAAGTATTATTCGTATTAGATTGTATGGGATATGTTTTTTTTTTAAATAAACGGATGTTTAAGCTTCTTCCGGTTTCATGTAACATATCCTTGTCTTGACTATAATTTGTACAGCAGCATTGACATTGTTGATGGCATCCGTAAATGATTAACAAACAGTTTTCTATTTCACATTCAACATCTAAAGGATCGAGAACGAGATAGACACAACAGGGAAAAAAAATTGTCTGTCCGTTTTTTTTCTTCTTCATAGGTAAGCAAAATGTATTGAGCATTTGTCATGTTCAATCAACAAAAGAATAAATGGGAACAAGCAGAAGAAAAAAGAGGGACTACCATTGACTAACGGTGTCATATTTGCCTGATATTTTTCTATCACCCCTTTGTGAAAAATAGATATT